CTTAGCTAGTCACATTACATCTAACCTCAAGCCAGGTGAAGGGGTGGGACTTCAAGGAGAGGACTTGCAGAGCTTTGGGACAAATACACTGTGGAGGATAGCCAGAGGAGATGGTGCCTAAGATAGGCCTGGGATTGCTGAAACTGAGTATGGGCTCCCACTAGGGAGCCAGAGCATGGTGCCATCTTGTAGATCTTGGAATTCATTGAGGTGAGGAATATATATGGTGGGCAAGTGGGGGCCACAGTGACAGCCTGCTGGGCTCTCTGCGGAGCTGTACAATAAGGATATTTGGGGAGTGAGGGGAGGAGACTGGAGAAATGTGGCTAGAAGTCCAGGGGCTGAGGAAGAAGCTGCAAACGACCATCCAGAACAGAGGTGTATCCCCCGAAGGAAGGGCAGGAGAGAGAGAACCAGCAGAAGCTCTTAACTGGCAAAACTACTCAGCAGAGAAGAGTTCATCTTCACCATTTGCCAGCCCACAGAGCATGAAACCACTCAGGCAGGCCAGGGCGGTGCGGCACCTCCCTGCCCACCCAGCCTCCTGGAGGGAGGAACTGAGAGCTGGGGGAGGGATGTAGGAAGGGGGCACCACGAGTAGAGCAGGGGAGAGGTCAGCTGGGAGGAGAGAGAGAGAGCAGAAGGACCTTTCTCTCCTCCACTGCAGGCACCCACCCTGAAACAGATCCCAGACAAGGGAAAGGGAGATTACTTGATTGTCAGTTAAGTTTAGAATTTTGTGTGTTACATGGACAGGAAGTTCTCATTTTGGCACTAAGACCAGAAATCAAAGCCAGAGCTCTCATTTGGAGCAGAGACTACCACTGAGTAAGATGGACGACGCAAAGCAGAAGGAAGTTGCATTCAGACCACACTCCATGAGTTAGGATGAAAGTTAGACTTGAAAATAGTGCTCTGAGACACGACTTTCTCCACATTGGACTGGAAGCGCTTAATGAAGATGGGGGGGTGTGTGTAGAAATGATTCTTTATCCTCAATAAGTATAATGGATTGTGCTTATTTATGGAGACGGTTGTAACAAATCCAAGCACAGTCACCCTCTTGCTACCAGCATACTCACCGCAGCAGCCGTGAAGGTGCGCTGCTCTCTCTGCAAGAGAAAACTGATCTGTGGCTGCACGGAACACAGAGAACCGTCTCCTTCCAGCACCTCTGGATGTGAGCTCTGCCGGGGCAGCTACAGCCTGAGGCTGTGCACGGTGTGGGCCCTGGCACCCAGACGTTCTTGCACAGAAAGGGTCCTCATGCCTGGACATTCCTGTCTAGCACGAGCCTTCTCTGATGGGCAACCTCTGCACCAGAGCTTCCTGCTGCGTTCATGGAGATGGTGAGGTCTGGTTAAAAGAGTTCATGGAGATGGTGAGGTCTGTGTCAAGGTCTGATGTGGGCTGCTTCCTGCCCCTTTTTATATTTCATAGGCATTAACCCCTATTTACAACCTCTTTTACTTTACACAGAGAAATAGAGGAGAAGGGATTGGAACGCATGTGTGCACTCGCCAGAGACAAACTGACGGGAAAGAGAGAGAGAGAGAGAGACAGCACTCCCACCACCTCTACCCCGGGTTGGGGGGTTGGCCACCATGCAATCTCCTCCAGTCTCCTCTTGGGATTTGGGCACACACTCACACATGCTCAGAGTGTTTTTCAAGGAGTTGACCATGTGGGATCCAGTGCTTTAACTTCCATGTCACCTGTTGGTCCCAAAGTTGTTTTATTTTAAACTCCAGCATCTGCTTCTCACAGACCCTCACTGATGTATCCACCCTTTCAACACTAAATATGATGCACATTTTTAAATTTCCTTTTTCCTTCTCTTCTCTTCCCTTTTCTCTTCTCTTCTCTTCTCCTCTCTTCTCCTCTCCTCTCCTCCCCTCCCCCCTCCCCTCTTCTCTTCTCTTTTCTTTTTTTTTTTCTTTTCCTTTCTTCTTTTCTTTATTTGCCAGGGGAATGTGTGCTTGCTAGGGAGAGACAGAGAGAAAGAGGGAGAAAGCTCTCCCCGATGAGGCAGAGGCACACTGCAATCCCTTCTCCTGTCTCCATCTTGTTGTGATGTTGGACACCCACGTGCACCTGGGGTGTTTTTCAAGCCTTCAGAGCTGGCATTCAAACCACAGTCAGTCACTTGGGATCCAGCCTCCTTAACCACTAGGCATATGACCTTATTTTTTTTATTTTTTCCTCTTCGCTTTATTTTTATTTTTTTAAAGATAGGGAATAGCTATCTAAAAAAGTTTCGGACTGAGGCTGAAAGCTGATCTACTTTTTAAAAAAAAATCAAGAAAAACAAAACAAAATAAAAAATCCCTGAAGCTTAATACTCATAAATTGTATTTTTAATAAATTTTATGAATTTTTTGGATAAATTTTTGCTATGGGGGGATGTGCTCGCTGCAATCCCTTCTTCTCCATTCTCTCAGGATTTAGGGCAAACATGCACATGCGCCCGGCCTGAGTTTTTCTTTAAGCTGCTGGGTCCAGTACTCAAACCTGGGTTGACTACATGGGAGTCCAGAGACGCCATCTGCTGGTACTCATAAATTGTATTTGAAGAACTATCTACTTCAGGGCCAGCCCAAGGCCTGGTGGTTAAGGGAGCTGGCTTGCACGCTGCTGACAGTGCAGTTTGAATCCTGGCCCTCACGGCTTGGGAAACATTGGGCATGTGTGTGTGTGCTCAAAACCTCACCAGAATGGAGAAATGGAAGAAAAGGGGTTGGAACATGACCATGCTCCATGGTTGGGGGGCTTTCTCCTCCCCCCACCTCTGTCTCCCTCTGGTGAGTGCACACGTCTTCTGGCAAAAACAAACGGGCCAACAAGTGGCATAGTGGTTAAGGCGCTGGACTCCCATGTGGCCAATCACAGACCCAGAGGCTTGAAGATCATTCTGGATGTGTGTGTGTGTATGTGTGTGTGTGTGTTTGTGTGTGTGCCATTTCCTCAAATACCAGGAGAATGGAGAAAGGATTGGGCATGACCATTTCCTCTGGGGAGTGATTTCTCACTTTCCCTTTCACTATCGTCAAGAAAGCGCATGCGCCCTATGGCAAAAATCTTAAAACAACAAACACTTTCTGCTTCCTATTCTTTATTTAGTAGATACTATGCATCCTTGAAGTCTCAGCTTAAATATCGCCTTTTCTTGATAGCTTTACCCTGACCCTCCTGACTCCAACTTTGCTAAATTCCCTTGCTATCAGCTACCCTAATTTCTTCTTGGTTAGACTGATTAAACTAGTTACTTGTCCAATGTCAGTTATTAGCTTCTGAACTTCACAAAGTTATGATCTAAAATTCTTGGTCACTGCTTAGCCAGCAGGTAGGATGGAGGTTAAGGTGGGTGAATCTCACATGGCCGACTGCACAGTTCAAGTCCTGGACCCAGCGATTTGAAAATCACACAGAGTGGGTGTGCATGCATGCCCAAAATCCCAAGAGGAAGAGAATGGAGCAGAAGGGATTGCATTGTGATCATTTACCCTGGGAGATGATTTCTCATTTCTCTCTCTCTCTCTCTGGTTGAGTGCACATGCCCTATAGCAAAAGTTACACAAATACAATACAATAAAATCTTGGTCACTGGGACTAGCAGTTAGCGTAACGGCTATGTTGCTGGACTCCCACGTAGTCGACCGCAGTTCGAGTCCCGGACCTGGTGGCTTAAACTCACACCGGATGCGTGTGCGTGCGTGCCCAAGATCCCGAGAGGAGAATGGAGGAGAAGGGATTGCGGCGTGGCCATCCCCCCTGGGGGGTGACTTCTCGCTTTCTATCTCTCTGTCTCTGTCTGTCTGGCGAGCACACGCACCCTATAGCAAAAAAAAAACTCTCCAGAAAAAAAAAAATCTTGGTCACTGATAATTCCTCAGTACCGAGGACAGTGTGTGGGGGCCATAGAACTTCCATAAGTATTTGATGGAGTGTTGACTTTGCTAACATAAAGGTATGAAATGTTGGCATAGGATCAGAAGTGAATATGAGGACAAATTTTATAAAATTGGTAGAAGAATGGAATTAGGGTATGAGCTGAATTTGGTGCAAAAATTTTGAAATCCACACATAGTCTTCTCATGAAACATATTTTTGATGAACCTTTCGAAGATTCCTAACTTATCTGACTCCATTGAACCCTTGGTTTTGAGACATGACTCTTGCTTCCTCATCACAGTTCAGACTCGTCTAATTGCATATTAGATGAAACCAAGATTATGGCAGAGATGTTGCAGGAAATCCAAGCAAGTGATTGTCCAGTCTTTGTTTGAGTACCGGGGAAAAAAACGTTTTCTGCACCAGCCCATTGCATCCTGGACAGCTGACTCTCAGAAAGATCCCCTGGTCCTCCACAGTCACCTCCTGAATCTGATATCTTAGAGCTTTGATTTAAAGTCTTTTCCTAATATTAACAACCTAGATCAACTCTCTGGTCTGCCTTTTTAAAAGAGAATCAAATTATTTCTCCTCTGCACAGTCTCTCAGGTGGGAATGTAGCTTGTTTTACACAGAAAGCCTTCATTTGTTCATCCATTCTGAAGATACAAGTTGGGTGCTAACAGATGTCCAGCCTGGGGCTTTAGGGGGCAGTAGTGGGGGACAATGAGGAAACACCAGGTAGAGTCTTTGTCTGGGGGGCTAGAGATGTATATAAGGTCGGGTGATAGCAGCAACAGGGGAACTACCAGAACTAGGACAAAGTGTACTGAGAGCCAATGGCAGGATAGGTAGTGGCCAAGATCCTGCGGCATGTGGTATGTGTGGGGATCTGGGAACACAGAGGGAGTTTTGAGAGGTTTCCTTAGCAAGTGGGGTCTGAGCTGTGTTTGGCAGACAGGACTATGAGTCTGTGGGTAAACCATCTTGACAATAAGGCTCTGAGAGAGAACCCCTTCCATTCGAGACAGGGAGGGGCTTAGAAAGGGCAGAGGAAGTTAGAGAGCTGCTAGCTGGGGTGGCAAAGATTTCTTTCTGTCAGGACATCCCTAGGAAGTTCCTAACAGCCTGTCTTCTCCTCAGCCCTGGGACTGACCAAGTCACACGCCTGTGGGGCTCGGGGCTGCTGACATGGGGCGCCTTCCTTGCCTACTCCTTTTCATGCTACTGCAGCAAGGTGAGTGAGACCACTGCCAGCTTCCCCTCTGTCCTGTTTTCTGGGTCTCAGGCTAGTAAGTCCCTTCCGTGGGGACTTAATGCACCAGCTTATTATAGGACAGGAAAGTTGGTCTGCATTGTGTAAAATCCTTGTTTCTTTCGGTCCGTATCTCTAAGAGTAGAGACCCACCCTGAGATGTAACGAAAAACCACAAACACTTGTAAAGTAGGAATAAGGAAGTTTTAATAAGAAAGCGAGGATTTTTAATAGAAAAGTACATCTCCATGCCTGAAAGGCATGCACATGGGCAGCTACCAGAGGACAACGGCACTGAGCATGGGGTCAGGTGTGACATTTATTCTAAGAGTTGATAATGGATATTTAGAAGGGGAAGGTCTGTATCTGGCTTCTTTGTTTGACTTTGCGGGCTGCTTCCTGCACTTGAATATCTCTCACACATTGGAGGAATTCAGTTACTAATCCCATATGCTCAGTGTGGATTTAGAAGGTATGAGCATCCTTATTTGGATGAACTGCCCAGTCGTTTATTGCCCCAGTGGGAATCAGGATGTTGACCAAAATGTCTCCTTGGGTCCTTTTGTATTTATGAAGAATAATAAGAGAGACATGAATAGCCTTCCTTATGTGGCTTTCTCAGGTAGTAAAGAAGAAAAATGGGATCTTTCCCCCCTTCCCTCCAGGAGCTGGATGGGAGGAAGCAGTCTCTGCAGAGGGTGTAGTTGTAACTCCTAATACGTTGTTGTCCTTCTGCTGTTATCTTAGGGCTGCCCTCTCATTTCTAGCTGACAACCACAAGCTCTTTTAGGGTAACAGGACAGAGTGAGGCTTCAGGGCAGAGATGAGGGCACCTGGAGATATGGAAGAGAGACCACCTAGGGTGGCAAAGGAGAGATAAAATCTGGAGGGTGAAGGGACAAAAGGGACCTGCTATAGTCTAAACGTTTCCCTTGAAAATTTATGTGTTGGGACCAGCACTTAGCGTAATGGCTATGTCGCTGGACTCCCACATAGTCGACCGTGGTTTGAGTCCCGGACCTGTGGCTTAAACTCACGCCGGGCGTGTGTGCATGCTTGCCCAAGATCCCGAGAGGAGACAGGAGGAGAAGGAATTGCGGCTTGACCATCCCCCCTGGGGGGTGATTTCTCGCTTTCTGTCTCTCTGTCTCTCTCTGTCTGTCTGGCGAGCGCACGCGCCCTATAGCAAAAATCTCTCAAAAAAAAATTATGTGTTGAGCCATTATACAAAATTAAGAAGGTGAAAGTCTGATCCAGTTAAGATGTCAAAAAGTGGAGCCTTTGGGAAGAGATGAGGATTAAGGTTATTAGAGCAGGACTTCTATGATTGCATTCTGGTGGGTTTTCCACACTTGCGATGTCATAGGAACTCTGAAAGACCCCCACCAGAGGTGACTCCTGGACCTTGTATTCACAAACCGTGAAGTAAATAAACCTCTATTTTTATAAATTACCTGGTTTCAGGTATTTCCTTTTATTAGCAACAAAGTGGACTCGCCTGGTAGGTGTTCAACTCAGGTACCAGGGGAATCTAGAGCCAGAAGTGGCAACGGGAGGGCAAAATTGAGTGTGGGCCACAGAAGCTACTCAACTGAGACTGAACCACGGTTCCCATTGCCAGCTTCAGTAACCCAGAGACACCAGGCAGGCAGTTTCCATGTCTTTTCCTCCTGTATCTGCAGCCAAAGGAGACTCAGGAGATGACATGAATCCCAAAGAAGTAGTTGCCGTCCTTCAGGAGTCTATCAACTTCTACCTGGAAATACCTTCCAACGAAGAGGTTGAGAACATCGTCTGGTCCTCCAGTACAAGTCTTGCCATCGTGGTGCCAGGGAGACTCCTAGCTACCATCACACTAACTGACACTCGCTACCAGGGCCGAGTGAGCTTCCTGGACTCCAGCTACTCTCTGCACATCAGTAATCTGAGCTGGACGGACTCAGGCCTTTACCGAGCTCAAGTCAACCTGAGGACGTCCCAGTTCTCTACTATGCAACTCTTCAATCTCCGAGTCTACCGTGAGTTTGGGCTGGGAACCACAGGCTGCTTTCCATGGCTCTCCTGAGTTTCTCATGCCACAGTGTAGAGGTTTGGGACTTCAGGTTATTGTTTGAGGAGCTAGCACTAGAAGGCAAGCCACATCCAAAGTGCCCAACTCCAACATCTGAGCTGCAGCAGCAGGTAAAGTGTCCTGGAGCAACGAGGCACCTAGCCTTGAGGCTGTTTCCATGGAGGTGCCCACCACAATGAGAGGCTTTAGGGGCTTCCCTTATAGACCTTCTAGGTGCTACTGTCTCCCAGTGAGATTGTGCACCCTGGAAATGAACCCTACCCCCTTCTTGAGCCCTTTACCCCTGTGTTATTTGATGGCTATTCGTCAGTAGCTTCTCTCCACTTGAGTCAGATTTCTTAGTGCCCGTCACATGGAGCCTACCTTGATTCGCTTTTTTTTTTTTTTTTTTTTTTAGAGAGATTTTTGCTATGGGGCATGTGTACTCATCAGAGAGACAGAGAGAGAGAAAGCGAAAAGTCACTCCCCAGTGGAGATGGCCATGCCACAATTCCTTCTCCTCCATTCTCCTCTTGGGATCTTGGGCACATGTGCACACGTGCCTGATGTGAGTTTTAAGTCCCTGGGTCCAGGACTCGAATGGCGGTCAACCATGTGGGAGTCCAGTAGTGTGCCCATTATGCGATCTGCTGGTCCCTACCTTGATTCTTGAAGAGACACTGGTTAAAATAAAAGGCCAGGACTAGCAGGTGGCATGGTGGCTAAAGCGCTGGATCCCGCATGGCCAACTGTGTGATTCAAGTCACAGGTGTGTGTGTGTGTGACTGCCCAAACTCTCAAGAGGAGAATGGAGGAGAAGAATTTGTGGTGTGGCCATCCTCCCCGGAAATTGATTTCTCCCTTTTCCTCTCCATTTCTGTCTCTCTCCCTTTCTCTGGTGAGGACATGTGCCCTATGGC